TTATTAATATCATGATGTGCCTACTCATGCACACACCTCTATGATTTTAGCACAATGTCATTATAGAGTGCTACTAAAACTGCTCTTATAAGTGCATCCTGTGTATATGATGTGTCAAGTCATTGGCAACTCACACCACTGCAATTTCTATTAACTTTTTTTTATTGGAATCTTCTATTTGTGCTGGTGAGTTTTGGACCCTCATGAAGTAGTAGATAGTGGGCCTACATGGAAATGTTGAGTAGCCATGAATTAATGTGTTAACTTCAGAGAGAGGTTTGGGTATGTGGGTAATAATGATGCAGGTGTTGTTTTATTTCTAATACATATTCCCTGAATGTTTGAAATATGCAAGGTTTCGTAGGTAGGCAATTTCTTCATAATATCTGGGCAATGATAATCTTGATATTGCTGCTGAAATGCATCAGTCAAATTCAGCATGATATGATAGTATATAGTTTCTATTGCTATGGTGTATTAATTAATTTATCAACTTTTCAATGTGTCTAATATATATTTGAACTTAGATATTTTTTGTGGTCCATCTTGGCTGTTGTAGGTTGGACAAGATGTAGTTGGAGAATTGACTAAAGCAATGGAAGAGACTGGTCTTGATATGCGTGTTGCAGCTTTGGTAAGTCACGTTTGGTTCGGTTCTTCGTTCTTCTCTTCTCTGAGTATGTTCTTTATAATATTGATTTAGATTTTTTCTTATTTCAAATGTCTCCTTGGTTGTGTGGGTTTCTTAACATACTGTGAGATGCAGGTCAATGTACTATTGGAACATTAGCTGGGGGTAGATAATCAAATCAGGATGTGGTTGCTGCCGTAATCTTGGGCACTGGAACTAATGCAGCATATGTAGAACGAGCACATGCTTCCTAAGTGGCATGGTCTTCTACCTAAATCAGGGGAAATGGTTAGTACTTCTCAATGTTTGTTGTACATTTTCATGTGTTTGAACTAATATCATCATTTCATGGTGAACTAGTTCTGTTTCTAAAAGAATGTTGATTACATAGGTTATCAACATGGAATGGGGTAACTTCCGGTCATCGCACTTCCGTAACAGAATATGATCAAGCATTGGATGCGAAAGCTTGAACCCTGGAGAACAGGTAGCTATATTTTCTTCCTTTCTGGTTTGAGATATCATGCATATATAGTGGTATGGGCTCATAACATCAGTGACTGTTACTTGCAGATTTTTGAAAAAGTGATCTCTGGTATGTATTTGGGGGAAATTGTGCGCAGAGTTTTGTGCCAGATGGCGTGAGAGCGCTTTTTTTGGTGATACTGTTCCACCAAAACTGAAAATTCCATTCATATTGAGGTGTGCCATTTGTTTGTGGGTTATCTGCTACATATCTCTTTCTATTCAAATTTATATACCTTCTTTTGGTCATGTATTTCCTCTATTGGTACTTGTGTTTGTGCATGTTAGGATCTGCATGATGAGTCTTAATAAATTCAGTTCTGAGTTGGAATAACTTGATCAGGCTTAGATACTAATGTTGTATTTCTTAGAAGCTTAATTGGTTACTTAACAGTCAAAACTTGTCTTTTCATTTTCATAATAAGTTGTTCATTTTTATGAAGAAAGTCCACTGCAATCCATATAAGAAAGACATCACTACATTGATAGTAACCTCTAACTGCAAAAGAACTTGTTCATGGTCTTGGCATTCAGAATTCTAGATTAAACATATTATTCTTAGAATTAAATAGGTTACAATGTATTATAATGTTGCATTTATACTCAATTTGTGGCTGTTAATGAATCTATTTCAGCTACATGTTTAATCATGTGGAGGAATGCGTGACTTTTAGCATGTCTTTTATTCAGGTATATGCATTGTAGAATTAATTTTTTCCTGTTAGAAATAGTATACACCCATTGATTTGTCATTTATATGTGTGCTTCTGTAGCTGTTACATTGTTATTATGGAACATGCAGGACTCCAGAACATGTCTGCAATGCATCATGATACATCTTCAGATTTGAGAGTGGTTGGGAAAAAATTAAAGGATATATTAGAGGTATTATACCTTGTCAATAATGTTGGACGAAAGCCCAGGAAATTATTTTTCTAGCCTATTGGTTATTTTTATATTTCTCTTCTCTGAAAACTTTTTTGTTTGGATCAGATAAATAAGCCAAGAACTTGAAAACTCTCGGTTTCAAGTGCAAGCTTCCCATATCTGTTTTATTGTCTTATTTTTAGTAAGAAAAATATTGCTTCGAACAAGATTCACTCAGAGCACAGTGATCACCATTTAGAACTTAACTATTATATTAGTAGAAAAATATGGTTCAGTCTTATATGTTACTTTCTTGTTCTTCTTATGTGTCAGATACCCAATACCCCCTGAAATGAGAAAAGTTTTGTGAGTCTGTGACATTGTTGCAACTCGGGGTGCCCGTTTATCTGCCGCAGGCATTGTCGGTATCCTGAAGAAATTAGGCAGAGACACAGTGAAAGATGGGGAAAAGCGAAGTCAGTAATAGCTTTAGATGGCGGGGGGTATGAGCACTACATGAAATTCAGTGCTTGCATGAAGAGCACGGTCAAGGAGATGCTGGGAGAGGAAGTCTCTGAGAAACATCACATTGAGTCTCCAAAGGACGGTGAACAGAATGGTGGTCTTAGGGAAGGTTTCTGATGAAGGAATTAATCGAAAAAGGGGAATGTTCACATGACCAAACTTAAGGGCAGCGCCCAATGACGGTGGGTTCAAAAGGTTGAGAAGGTTGGGGGTTTTGTTGGGGGCATTAAAGGCTTGAAGATGGTGGGGTCGGGGGTACCAATGATGCCAGAATCAAGCTGATTTGGCCTGAGATTGGCAACTGCGCAATGATGGAGTGGGTGTGGCAAAACAGTGGAATCCGGTTAGATGGGGTTGGAAAAGGTGCAATCAAAGTTGGGGAAGAGTTCTTGCCGTGATTAGTGAAAAAAACTAGCTAGGAGGGAGCCAAAATGTTAACGACAATGAAGAAGAAGAGTGACTTTGGTAATAGCGAAGGAGGAGAGATGAAGAAAAAGAAGATGGGAGAGCAGTTTGGAAATGACACCCTTTACATCTATGTCAGAATCCAACAATCACTAACAGTTTTACTTTAAGGACGATAATCTAGGATTTATGAAAACATGGGTGAGAATTTGCCATTTCACTAAACCTGGGGTGGGAACATGTTTTTTACCCAGCCAAAAAATTAGTGAAAGGGTCAAATATGTACAAGCACCGCTAAGCATGCGGTGAGGAGGAGGGAAGAGGGACACATAAGCATGCAAAGCCTGCAGTTAATTCAGGGGGAGCCATAGATTGTCGTAATTGTTTCTAAAATTTAAATCAATTTGATTAACGTTGACAAAGAGAATTTGGTGAGTAGTACCCACTGATGACCAACTTGGCTTTGAAATAAATTGAAAAGTAGTTGCCGAGTCGGATATGAGTAGGCATTGGATAGGTTTGTTGTAAGTTTAATTTCAGAAGAAATGTTTCCCTCATTATTTATATGATTAAATAATTAATACTAACTTATCCTCTTTAAGCTTTCAAGAGGAACTTTGCCTCCTCAATTTCATAGACTTTGTCTAATCCAAATTTCCGAATTACATCTAATATTGAATTGACTCTTACAACACAAAGTCAAAAGTCCAATAAAAGGTATTATCTTCATTTCTAAACCTGTGTATTTATCTATTTGACTAATTGGACAACTGCCTTTGCCCTTCCTTGTATTATGCTATAATAATAATTATTAAGTAAACCCACTGGAAAATTTACCTAAAACAATTAAATACATATCATATGATCAAAAATAGTCCAAACTAGAATCAAAAAAAGAAATTATTAATTAATCAAGATTAAAGAGTTAGGTATATCTATAATAATAATATTTAAATAAAATTTCAGGCATCTTCGCCATCCTTCAAAGCCCATTGAATGTTCCAATAACACACGTGTTATGCCAACAAACAAAATTCTTGCAGTGTCTTCCATAAAGACCAACAAACAAAAAAAGCACAAAAAATCACGTCCGTAGGTAAATAATATAAGAGTAAACGACATTATCTCACCCAAGGTTTGGCGAATCTTCAGTTTCCACCCCTGGTTTCATAAATTATAATTCTCACCCTTAAATTAATGTCTTTACTTTTTCTCAAAATAATCTCTACATCTCAAATTTCTCTCAAATAACCCCCAGAGGATCCCGACCAAGCCAAAAATCGGACCTAATTCCGGTACCATTGGATCTCCCCGACATCACTATCACCATCAGCATCCCCTTATCCTCCTCACTAAAACCGCTAACTTTTTCACCTGAATACACCTCGGTGAGGTGTCGGAATTTGGCTGGAAAGGGGTTAAAAAATGCAAAAACCTAAGGGAGAGGTGATGGCCATCGGTGGGCAATTGCAATCAGAAATGTTGGGGGTTTTGGTGGGGGGAGGTCGACAATGCTATTGGTGGTCTTGAGAGTGGTTTTCGGTGTTGAGACTTGTCGGAAGTTGGATGAAATGTCGATTGACACTAAAAGCGACGACCGACGATTGGGGGGTTCAATCAGGCGAGGAGGTTAGAGGTTTTGATGTGGGGGTTGAGGGAATTGTAATAGTGGTGTCATGAGGGGTCGATTATGCCGAAAACAGGTCTAAATGACCTGAAATCGTCGATGGGATGAATTAGAGAAGTGAAGGGTTATTTTAAAATTTTCATCTTTGAAATGACCATCGTACCCTGTTAGATTAAACAGTTATATGTTAATTTAAGGGTGAGAATCTGTAATTTATGAAACCAGGGGTGGGCACAGAAAGTTCACCAAACCTTGGGTGGGAAAATGTTGTTTACTCATAATATAATAATAAGATAAAATATTTGACACGTGACAGGTCATTATCGTAATTTAACTAAGATAGTGACCCTTTTGTGAACAACTGAACATTACATTTTTTTTTTTTTTTTAATATAAATCCAAGAAGATTTATTTGATCAGTTGCAACTAATAAATGTCTCTCTCTCTTACATAAAACGAGACAAAAACCAAACTACAGAAATTTTATTTACTATTATTATTTTTAAAAGTATTTTGTTAAATTCTCTTCTATGTTTTAGCTCCAATTTTCAGCTCGATCTAGGGTTTTCTCTAAGTTTGTAACAAAAACAATCTTTAAATTTAATCAAAGTCGATCACTTTGAGTCTAGGTGGGAGCAAAGAGCCGAAGAAGTCAAATTTCTTTAGTTTTTTTGTATTTCTGTGAGTAGTCATGGGGAAAGTGGCGGTTGGGGCGACGGTCATATGTGCGGCAGCTGTGTGTGCGGCGGCGGTGCTGGTGGTGCGGCATAGGATGAAGTGTTCGGGGAGGTGGGCCAAGGCCATGGCTATATTGAAAGATATGGAGGAGAAATGTGGGACCCCAATTGGGAAGCTCAGACAGGTGGCTGATGCGATGACCGTTGAGATGCACGCTGGCCTTGCATCGGAGGGTGGTAGTAAGCTCAAGATGCTTATCAGCTACGTCGACAATCTTCCCACTGGGTGGGTACCACACCCAAACACGCTCAATTTTTTTTTTTTTTTTTTTCAATGATAGTTCGTATTTTTTTTTTTTCAAGTATTATTTATTTCGGCATTTTAGTTACTGGTAATTTATCGTTTATTTAGTTATAATCTTCTCACTTTAACGGTTACCGCCAACAAATAAAAAACATAAAACAAAATTTTCCGATATGGTTGGATTTCTCAAATAATTTTTTTTATTATTTTATTTATTTATTTTTTTTTTTGGGGTATTTTAGTTGATTGTTTACTTTATTGGTATTTATAAGAGATTTTTTTTAAAGACTAAGAAGGGTAATTAAACATTTATGGACTTATTTTTGTATGGCTTTAATTAGTCTTCCTTATAATCATGTTATTTTTATGGTTTGGCTTCATGGTTTTTTAATCTCTATGTCTTCTAAATTTCGTTTTGTTACCCTCTGTTGCCTGTATTTGCTTCTTGTTATTGATTATTTCATTTACCTGTATAGAATAAGTGATTTTCTTGTTCTAATCAATTCGTAACTTAAATTTTTAGAATTTGCTGCATGTACTCTTATATTAGTTAAAGATTCTAATTTGGGAGAAATAATGGTTGTTATATTGTTTTGCAACTCTATCATGAAAAAGTATCTGATTTCGTTTCAAATGAAACCTTCTTTACATGGTGCTTCTTCCAAAGTTTGATGTAAAAAGCTTGAGTTAAATGGTTCAAATGAAATTTTTCATTGGAACGGCATATTCCTTGTCAATTTCAAGCTTTACTTTTTGTTTGATTGGAATTTGGCGAATTTTGCTTCTGATGTGTTGACATATTATACTAAATCTAGCATTTGCTTTTTGTGCTGTCTAACTTTCTCTCTTTTGTAGTTCCTTTAGTGTTTATTTGTTATTCTTTCCTTTATCCATTATTACTCCTATACCCACCTGTCCTTCTTTTAAATTCCTTTATTGTTTTTGGATTGAAATTTTTATAATCTTTTGGTAGATATCTACAATCTAAATTTTCATTACTTTTTGACTTTTAAGCTTATGTCTGGTCCTTCATTCATAATCTTTCTTATTATATTATTGATTTTTCCATATAGCTCTAGCACGAAATATTTACTTGCAATTATTCATCTTTTTTTGGCCATTTATGTAATACTTATATTATGTTTTAACAAAGTTACAAATTTTTGAGAGAATATTAAAGTGGAATGTTACTTCACATTGACAGATGAGCAAACTTGATTTGTTTTGTATATCAGTCGGACAGAGTTTATGAAGTTCCATTTCTGACTTCCATGTTTGACGTTATTCTCTTGTAATTTAACCTTTTTATATCAATTGGCTGTTATTTATCCTGGTAAAGACTAGTTTGTCATTTCTCTTTATGGAAATGGCTCTAATTTCCAGGTTACGGATATTGAAGCTATCATTCTTTTAGTAGTTTCTGTTATAATTTGATTTCCCAACCTGATTTCCTTAGATTGCTATCATTTGTCTGATTGAATGGGATGAATGGAGTGCCTTGCATGAGAATTGTTTTTCTCTTGCTTGTGTTGAATATGAATTCAGCTGATTAATCATGGAGAATAAAGAACCTGTTTTGAGCAATTGGTTGATGAACTGCTCTTTGCAACGGAATTCAGTTGGCAAGGGAATAGGGGGATCCCTTATAAATCATTGTAGCCATTTTTGTGGATGAAGTATTTCTAGTAATAGAAGAGGTGAAATAAAAATGGAATTTTTTGAAAAAGAGAAGCCATAGGTGTTCCTTGAATGGTAGAAAAAATTGCTTATCTGTGGTTGATTTTTCATGCTGTAGTAGTACTTTAACTTTTCTGGATCTTTTGTGCTGATGAAAATTTAGTCTAACATGCACGACACTTACTGCCTTAATCTTAAAGGGATGAGAAGGGGTTGTACTATGCGTTGGACCTTGGTGGCACAAACTTCCGTGTCATACGTGTACTGTTGGGTGGGCAAGAAGGCCGTGTTGTTAAACAAGAATTTGAGGAAGTTTCAATTCCTCCACATTTGATGACTGGGAATTCAGATGTGAGTGTTTTTTAGCACTCCAGTCTAATAAAATTTGACCTAGCTTAGTTGGTTCATGCTCTGAAATCTTTTAATAATGGCGATTTCAGGATTTGTTTGACTATATTGCTGAAGCCCTTGCGAAATTCGTTGCTACAGAGGGTGAAGGACTTCATGTTTCACCTGGGAGACAAAGAGAGTTGGGGTTTACTTTCTCATTTCCAGTTAGACAAACATCAATTTCATCAGGGAATCTTATAAAATGGACCAAGGGCTTCTCTATAGAAGATGCGGTAAATCCTATTTGCCTTTGACTCTTACATTGTATTTCTTTTATATCATGATCATGCATGATATCTTTAGTTACAAGTAATGTTCCTCGCCTCTTGCCTTGCTTCATTATCCTAATTAAGTTTCAAATTTTAAAGAATTCTTTTATAATAGAAAGAGTTGATAACTGTTATTGTTTTGTGAAGTTTTGTCCGTACTATGGATATGCTTTAGTCTTATTATCTCCCTTGTGTGGTTATGTGGTTAATTCTAATTATCTCAACTCATCTTTCGCTGTTATTCACAATGATCTTGTGATTGTTACCTATAGTTATCCATATTGTTTTTGGCTTTTGTTAATTGTGTAGATTAATTAATGCCAGAACTAAAGGATATTCTTGTAGAATTTGGTTGACTGATAGTTTTATTTTCAAAATTGTCTGATACTGTATATATGGTTTATCCTTGAATTTTTTGTAGGTTACCAACCATCTCTTGATCCTCAGATATAAGAGTTACTTAAGTAGAAAAATTGTGCAGTAGTCCTTTTTTTTTTTTTTTTTTTAAGAAATATATGCAGTCTACTTAAAATTATGATCTAGAAACATAATTCCAAGGGCAATGTGGAGTGCTTTGAAACTCCCATTGCTATAACTGGCACCTTCTTTTGTGTTCCAAATTGGTGCAGAGTGTTTTAATTCTGCTAATGTGCTGTATAAACCATGTTGTTGCATAGTAGTTGTTTTCTTATGCCCTCTCAATCCCTTCTCAAGGTCAACTTCTTCATTCTGATTGATAATGGGCTATTCAGCTTTGTAGTGAAAGCAGTTATTTGCATCATGAGGGTGATTCTTTTTGGAGCATTTACTGTTTTATTAATATATCATGATGTGCCTACGCATGCACACATCTCTATGATTTTAGCACAATGTCATTATAGAGTGCTACTAAAACTGCTCTTATAAGTGTCATCCTGTGTATATGATGTGTCAAGTCATTGGCAACTCACACCACTGCAATTTCTATTAACTATTTTTTTTTATTGGAATCTTCTATTTGTGCTGGTTGAGTTTTGGACCCTCATGAAAGTAGTAGATAGTGGGCCTCACATGGAAATGTATGTTAGTAGCCATGCAATTAATGTGTTAACTTCAGAGAGAGGTTTTGGGTATGTGGGTAATAATGACTGCATGGTTGTTTGTTTTATTTCTAATACATATTCCCTGAATGTTTGAAATATGCTAAGGTTTCGTAGGTAGGCAATTTCTTCATAATATCTGTGCAATGATAATCTTGATATTGCTGGTCTGAAATGCATCAGTCAAATTTCAGCATGATATGATAGTATATAGTTTCTATTGCTATGGCTGTATTAATTAATTTATCAACTTTTCAATGTGTCTAATATATATTTGAACTTAGATATTTTTTGTGGTCCATCTTGGCTCTTGTAGGTTGGACAAGATGTAGTTGGAGAATTAACTAAAGCAATGGAAAGAGCTGGTCTTGATATGCGTGTTGCAGCTTTGGTAAGTCCAGTTTGGTTCGGTTCTTCGCTTCTTCTCTTCTCTGAGTAATGTTCTTTATAATATTGCATTTAGATTTTTTCTTATTTCAAATGTCTCCTTGGTTGTGTGGGTTTCTTAACATACTGTGAGATGCAGGTCAATGATACTATTGGAACATTAGCTGGGGGTAGATACTCAAATCAGGATGTGGTTGCTGCCGTAATCTTGGGCACTGGAACTAATGCAGCATATGTAGAACGAGCACATGCTATTCCTAAGTGGCATGGTCTTCTACCTAAATCAGGGGAAATGGTTAGTACTTCTCAAATGTTTGTTGTACATTTTCATGTGTTTTGAACTAATATCATCATTTCATGGTGAACTATGTTCTGTTTCTAAAAGAATGTTGATTACTATAGGTTATCAACATGGAATGGGGTAACTTCCGGTCATCGCACCTTCCGCTAACAGAATATGATCAAGCATTGGATGTCGAAAGCTTGAACCCTGGAGAACAGGTAGCTATATTTTCTTCCCTTTTCTGGTTTGAGATTATCATGCATATATAGTGGTTATGGGCTCATAACATCAGTGACTGTTACTTGCAGATTTTTGAAAAAGTGATCTCTGGTATGTATTTGGGGGAAATTGTGCGCAGAGTTTTGTGCCAGATGGCTGAAGAAGCTGCTTTTTTTGGTGATACTGTTCCACCAAAACTGAAAATTCCATTCATATTGAGGTGTGCCATTTGTTTGTGGGTTATCTGCTATCATATCTCTTTCTATTCAAATTTATATACCTTCTTTTTGGTCATGTATTTCCTCTATTTGGATTTACTTGTGTTTGTGCATGTTAGCATCTGCATGATGAGTCCAATAATTAATTCAGTTCTGAGTATGGAATAACTTGATCAGGCTTAGATACTAATGTTGTCATTTCTTAGAAGCTTAATTTTTTAGAATTAATGGTTACTTAACAGTCAAAACTTGTCTTTTCATTTTCATAATAAGTTGTTCATTTTTATGAAGAAAGTCCACTGCAATCCATATAAGAAAGACATCACTACATTGATATGTAACCTCTAACTGCAAACGAACTTGTTCTATGGCCTCTTGGCATTCAGAATATTCTAGATTAAACATATTATTCTTAGAATTAAATAGGTTACAATGTATTATAATGTTGCATTTATACTCAATTTGTGGCTGTTAATGAATTTATTTTCAGCTACATGTTTAATCATGTTGGTAGGAATGCGTGATCTTTAGCATGTCTTTTATTCAGGTATATGCATTGTAGAATTAATTTTTTCCTGTTAGAAATAGTATACACCCATTGATTTGTCATTTATATGTGTGCTTCTGTAGCTGTTACATTGTTATTATGGAACATGCAGGACTCCAGACATGTCTGCAATGCATCATGATACATCTTCAGATTTGAGAGTGGTTGGGAAAAAATTAAAGGATATATTAGAGGTATTATACCTTGTCAATAATGTTGGACGAAAGCCCAGGAAAATTATTTTTCTAGCCTATTGGTTATTTTTATATTTCTCTTCTCTGGAAAACTTTTTTGTTTGGATCAGATAAATAAGCCAAGAACTTGAAAACTCTCGGTTTCAAGTGCAAGCTTCCCATATCTGTTTTTATTGTCTTATTTTTATGTAAGAAAAATATTGCTTCGAACAAGATTCACTCAAGAGCACAGTGATCACCATTTAGAACTTAACTATTACTATTAGTAGAAAAAATATGGTTCAGTCTTATATGTTACTTTCTGTTTTCTTCTTTATGTGTCAGATACCCAATACCTCCCTGAAAATGAGAAAAGTTATTGTGAGCCTCTGTGACATTGTTGCAACTCGTGGTGCCCGTTTATCTGCCGCAGGCATTGTCGGTATCCTGAAGAAATTAGGCAGAGACACAGTGAAAGATGGGGAAAAGCAGAAGTCAGTAATAGCTTTAGATGGCGGGTTGTATGAGCACTACATGAAATTCAGTGCTTGCATGAAGAGCACGGTCAAGGAGATGCTGGGAGAGGAAGTCTCTGAGAACATCACAATTGAGCTCTCAAATGACGGTTCTGGCATCGGAGCTGCACTCCTTGCAGCCTCTCACTCCCAATACCTTGGTGTTGATGAGTCATTTTCAACAATTTAACTTCGTACATTTGCAGTTTATTTTATCTCTCTGCGCTTTATTTTGAGCTTTTTTACACCCATCACGCTAGACACCCTAATTTATGGTCATATGGCGTGTATAATGAGTAATGGATCGAATGTGGAGGAAGCCGACAATACAATTGGTGGTTTGAGGGGGTGTTTCGGTGTTGGGAATTGTAGGAATTTGGATGAAATATTGATTAACACTACAAGCGAAGAGACAATTGGGGGGTTCAATTAGGCGGGGAGATTAGGGGTTTTGATGTAGGGGTTGAGGGGATTGTATGGTGGTGTCATGAGGGGCGACTATACTGGAAACAGGTCGGAATGACCTGAAATCGCATTAGAGAAGTGAAGGATTATTTTGAAATTTTTTGATGGGGTGAATTTAATAAGTGAAGTTTTATTTTAAAAATTTATCTTTGAAATGACCATCTTACCTTTTTAACTGTTAGATTAAACAGTTATTTGTAATTTAAGGGGCAGATTGCAATTAATGAAACCAGGGGTCGGTAAAAAAGGTCGCCAAACCTTGGTGGGACATGTAGTTACTCATAATATAATATAAGATAAAATATCTGAACGTGACAGGTCATTATCGTAATTTAACAAGATAGTGACCCTTTGTGAACAACTGAACATTACATTTTTTTTTTTTTAATATAAAACAAGAAGATTTATTTGATCAGTTGAACTAATAATGTCTCTCTCTCTTAATAAAACGAGACAAAAACCAAACTACAGAAATTTTATTACTATTATTATTTTTAAAAGTATTTTTTTAAATCTCTCTTCTATGTTTTAGCTCCAATTTTCAGCTCGATCTAGGGTTTTCTCTAAGTTGTAAAAAAAACAACTTTAAATTTAATCAAAGTCGATCACTTTGAGTCTAGGTGGGAGCAAAGAGCCAAGAAGTCAAATTTCTTTAGTTTTTTTGTATTTCTGTGAGTAGTCATGGGGAAAGTGGCGGTTGGGGCGACGGTCATATGTGCGGCAGCTGTGTGTGGGCGGCGGCGCTGGTGGTGCGGCATGGATGAAGTGTTCGGGGAGGTGGGCCAAGGCCATGGCTATATTGAAAGATATGGAGGAGAAATGTGGGACCCCAATTGGGAAGCTCAGACAGGTGGCTGATGCGATGACCGTTGAGATGCACGCTGCCTTGCATCGGAGGGTGGTAGTAAGCTCAAGATGCTTATCAGCTACGTCGACAATCTGCCCACTGGGTGGGTACCAACACAACACGCTCAATTTTTTTTTTTTTTTTTTTCAATGATAGTTCGTTTTTTTTTTTTTTCAAGTATTATTTATTTCGGCATTTTAGTTACTGGTAATTATCGTTTATTTAGTTATAATCTTCTCCTCTTAACGGTTACCGCCAACAATAAAAAACATAAACAAATTTTCCGATATGGTTGGATTTCTCAAATAATTTTTTTTATTTTTATTATTATTTTTTTTTTGGGTATTTTAGTGATTGTTTACTTTATTGGTATTTATAAGAGATTTTTTAAAGACTAAGAAGGGTAATTAAACATTTATGGACTTATTTTTGTATGGCTTTAATTAGTCTCCTTAAATCATGTTTTTTATGGTTTGGCTTCATGGTTTTTAATCTCTATGTCTTCTAAATTTCGTTTTGTTACCCTCTGTTGCCTGTATTTACTTCTTGTTATTATTATTTCATTTACCTGTATAGAATAAGTGATTTTCTTGTTCTAATCAATTCGTAACTTAAATTTTTAGAATTTGCTACATGTACTCTTATATAGTTAAAGATTCTAATTTGGGAGAAATAATGGTTGATATTGTTTGCAACTCTATCATGAAAAAGTATCTGATTTCGTTCAAATGAAACCTTCTTTACATGGTGCTTCTCCAAAGTTTGATGTAAAAAGCTTGAGTTAAATGGTTCAAATGAAATTTTCATTGGAACGGCAATCTTTGTCAATTTCAAGCTTTACTTTTTGTTTGATTGGAATTTGGCGAATTGCTTCTGATGTGTGTTGACATATTATAGTAAATCTAGCATTTGCATTTTTGGCAGTCTAACTTTCTCTCTTTTGTAGTTCCTTTAGTGTTATGTTATTCTTTCCTATCCATTATTACTCCTATACCCACCGTCCTTCTTTAAATTCCTTTATTGTTTTGGATTTAAATTTTTATAATCTTTCGGTAGATATCTACAATCTAAATTTTCATTACTTTTTGACTTTTAAGCTTGCTAGTCCTTCATTCATAATCTTTCTTATATATTATTGATTTTTCCAATAGCTCTAGCACGAAATATTACTTGCAATTATTCATCCTTTTTTGGCCATTATGTAATACTTATATTATGTTTTAACAAAGTTACAAATTTTTGGAGAATATTAAAGTGGAATGTTACTTCACATTGACGAGAGCAAACTTGATTTGTTTTGTATATCAGTGACAGAGTTTATGAAGTTCCATTTGACTTCCATGTGACGTTATTCTCTTGTAATTTAACCTTTTTATATCAATTGGTGTTATTTATCCTGGTAAAGACTAGTTTTCATTCTCTTTATGGAAATGGCTCTAATTTCCAGGTTACGGATATTGAAGCTATCATTCTTTAGTAGTTTCTGTTATAATTTGATTTCCCAACCTGATTTCCTTAGATTGCTATCATTTGTCTGATTGAATGGGATGAATGGAGTGCCTTGCATGAGAATTGTTTTCTCTCTGCTTGTTGAATATGAAAATTCAGCTGATTAATCATGGAGAATAAAGAACCTGTTTTGAGCAATTGGTTGATGAACTGCTCTTTGCAACGGAATTCAGTTGGCAAGGGAATAGGGGGATCCCTTATAAATCATTGTAGCCATTTTTGTGGATGAAGATTTCTAGTAATAGAAGAGGTGAAATAAAAATGGAATTTTTTGAAAAAGAGAAGCCATGTGTTCCTTGAATGGTAGAAAAAATTGCTTATCTGTGGTTGATTTTTCATGCTGTAGTAGTACTTTAACTTTCTGGATCTTTTGTGCTGATGAAAATTTAGTCTAACATGCAGACACTTACTGCCTTAATCTTAAAGGGATGAGAAGGGGTTGTATAGCGTTGGACCTTGGTGGCACAAACTTCCGTGTCATACGTGTACTGTTGGGTGGGCAAGAAGGCCGTGTTGTTAAACAAGAATTTGAGGAATTTCAATTCTCCACATTTGATGACTGGGAGTTCAGATGTGAGTGTTTTTTAGCACTCCAGTCTAATAAAATTTGACTAGCTTAGTTGGTTCATGCCTGAAATCTTTTAAAATGGCGATTTCAGGATTTGTTTGACTATATTGCTGAAGCCCTTGCAAATTCGTTGCTACAGAGGGTGAAGGACTTCAGTTTCACCTGGGAGACAAAGAGAGTTGGGGTTTACTTTCTCATTTCCAGTTAGACAAACATCAATTTCATCAGGGAATCTATAAAATGGACCAAGGGCTCTCTATAGAAGATGCGGTAAACCTATTTGCCTTTGACTCTACATTGTATTTCTTTTATATCAATCATGCATGATTCTTTAGTTACAAGTAATGTTCCTCGCTCTTGCCTTGCTTCATATCCTAATTAAGTTTCAAATTTTAAAGAATTCTTTTATATAGAAAGAGTTGAACTGTTATTGTTTTGTGAAGTTTGTCCGTACTAGGATATGCTTTAGTCTATTATCTCCCTTGTGGGTTGTTGGTTAATTCTAATTATCTCAATCATCTTTCGTGTTATTCACTAGATCTTGTGATGTTACCTATAGTTATCCAATTGTTTTTGGCTTTTGTTAATTGGTAGATTAATTAATGCCAAAACTAAAGGATATTCTTGTAGAATTTGGTTGACTGATATTTATTTTTTCAAAATTGTCTGATACTGTATATATGGTTATCCTTGAATTTTTTGTAGGTTACCAACCATCTCTTGATCCTCAGATAAAGAGTTACTTAAGTAGAAAAATGTTGCAGTAGTCTTTTTTTTTTTTTTTTTTTTTTTTTTTTAAAGAAATCTATGCAGTCTACTTAACATTGTGATCTAGAAACAAATTCCAAGGGCAATGTGGAGGCTTTGAAACTCCCATGCTATAACTGGCACCTTTTTTGTGTTCCAAATTGGTGCAGAGTGTTTTAATCTGCTAATGTGCTGTATAAACCATGTTGTTGATAGTAGTTGTTTCTTATGCCCTCTCAATCCCTTCTCGGGTCAACTTCTTCATTCTGATTGATAATGGGCTATACAGCTTTGTAGTGAAAGCAGGTATATGCATCATGAGGTGATTCTTTTGGAGCATTTACTGTTTATTAATATATCATGATGTGCCTACTCATGCACACACCTCTATGATTTGCACAATGTCATATAGAGTGCTACTAAAACTGCTTTATAAGTGTCATCCTGGTATATGATGTGTCAGTCATTGGCAACTCACACCACTGCAATTTATTAACTATTTTTTTTTATTGGAATCTTCATTTGTGCTGGTGAGTTTTGGACCTCCTGAAAGTAGTAGATAGTGGGCCTCACATGGAAATGTATGTTAGTAGCCATGCCATTAAGTGGTAACTTCAGAGAGAGGTTTTGGGTAGTGGGTAATAAGACGATGGTGTTTGTTTTATTCATACATATTCCCTGAATGTTTGAAATATGCTAAGGTTTCGTAGGTAGGCAATTTTTCATAATATCTGTGCAATGATAATCTGATATTGCTGGTCTGAACGCAATTTTCCCCCCCCCCCCGGGGTCAACTATACATCTCTTGTGTTTTGGATTATATTAGAGTTTGGACCAAGTGGGAGAATGTTAGACTTTTTACATTATGGTCCTACACTTTTAATATAATTTTATTAAGGTCCTACACTTTTACTTTTATGCTGATGTGGACTGATGTGGATTTTAATGTAAAAGTGTAAAAGTCGTGTCTCTTCTCTTGAGCAGTTGTCTTTGATGGAAAGACAACTGCATATAAAGGAGACTTTACAGGTCCCCATTAGACGCAATTTTTATTTTGATTCCCAAAAACCATCACCCAAAATTACAGTCAGTGGAAGATCCTGTTATTCATAAAGGAGCAAGAAGATCAAAGAACAATTGCTATGGCTGGAGGTTTGTCATTTACTTCCGC